ATAATAGGCTGGCCAAGGTTAACACTAACAATGGCTATTAAACTAGTTATTAATAGAGAAAATTAAGAGCTTTTAAATAAGCTACAAAGCATTAATTTTAGCCAATAATTTACTGCGTGGAACGTTCATAGGTAATATCACCTAATCCACTAGATTCGGTATAGTCAAGGGGCTCGGAGACTTTTGGCAAGGGACTGTAGCGATACAGGACTTTGGTGTTATCTCTATAAAATCCGGCTATCTCCGGCCGGGCCGGAGTTGATCCGGGAGGTGCCGGAGTTGACCCAGTAAGAACACCAACTCACCTACGAAGTGGGCAACAACTCCAAGAACGTCCACATTGTTTGGCGACGTTCAGATATTGAAGCTTACAGAAATCTTACTCTGCACTATACGTAGGAGCGTCTGTACCACCTCTTTCCTCTCCTCTAGCGCTTTCAGCCGTGGGGCAGCTGCTGGGCAGCCCGCGTAGCAAGTCAACTCGATTCCATATTAGTAAGCCTCTACTGCCCGCCGACGTCGCCATAGAGAAGCTCAAGTCGAATAGTAGCACCCAATCAATTTACGACTTCAAGAACTCTACTTCCTGCCATGGTGAGTGGGTAACAGCTGCGTACGCCTGCAGCTTTCTCAAATGGATCCGACGATATGCTAACAGCGGGCGGCAACACAGCCTTTGTCCGGAGCGATATTGTGCACCTTCCGGGGGTGATCAGCAATATGAGCTGTACCGGAGTTGATTGGTCAGAGGCAAGCTGCCATTCGATTTAGGTGGCATCTCTCACACAAAAAGAACACCTTCTTGCTATCGCCGTCGTCTCCCAGGTAAACAAGATCTGCTCCATATCGCCATATGGATGCAGCTTTCCGGCCACCCGTTGACTTTGACTTGTGCAAAACGCGGTAACCGAGCCGCGCGCACCCACAACCTTTATCCTGCCATGCCAGAGGTTGTTCCAATCAATATCTATTTCCCTGCCAAAATTACGAGTAGCGGGTTACTTGTGGGAAGCTTGTACAGACGGCGACGACGATAGGGATGAGCTGGCCGGTGCCAGGGCGCTACGAGCGGCAGAGGCGTGATAGGGCGTCGGTGTTGACGGCTGAGAGGTCTGCTGCGTCAGCTGGGACCCGCGTGCCTGTGAGCCTATCCTCCAAGAACTGATCATAATAGCGATGGCGATAGAGATAATCGGGCTGATATTTGTATAGGATACAGGGCTGGTAACAAGCCAGGAGTCGAAGCTCCACATTTGCCCGATGTGGGTACATTCTACGCCCCAAGCAGCCCGGATTTGCCACATCTGACACCTCAACGTCAACCCACACCTCTTTCCTAATTAGGCAATTCTATCACCATAGTACGGCTCAAAAGTTACTACGGACGGTTGCTTTTACGGCGAAATTTCTATACGGTACGGACCGCCCAAAAACACCGTCGAGCCGTACCGTAGTCACCGTATTACCGACTGTTGAAAGCGCTTAGCGTCGTAGGGAGGTGGGGTACCCGCACCAATTATTTCACCGCATCGGCCATCTTTGCCCATCTCCCCCAATGCTGGCCAGTGAAGCGTCCGCGGTGTCGATCGCTCTCGCGGTCACTCTCGGCTGGTGGATAGAAAATCCCAGGGAATAGCTTGCGCGATTAGCCGCTCTTTGCCATGTGCTTTGACTGTCGTCGTGACTCAGTCGTCCTACTCCCACCATGGCAATGCCCTTGGTCATCCTCACATGTATCCTTCGCAGACCCCGCCGTCCCTACGATCCAATTTGTGCACAGAATAGCTCCTAGGCATCCTACCTCTCCGTCGTCCAATTGGCTCCTAGGGCGTTCAGTAGGAGCTCAGACTCCATGACGGACTTGAGTATACCAAAGGTCACCTCCCAAGTCGCTACGAGTCGCGAATGACAAGACAATGTCATATCGTCCAGTAAGGAAGCTTCTGAATACGTTGCTGCGCCAATTCATTGTTGCAACAGTAGCGTTTTAACGTTCGTAATCTCAAATACAAGCGAGCTCCGCCCGTTCGACGGGACGTAAAATGCAATAGGACCATTCGAGTCTTCAAGTGCGAGCACGATATTCTCGGCAAGACCCACAAACCTTCAGAAGCGTAGCACCCCTTTCAAGACTTCCATGGCACCCAAATACATCGACTTGTTATTTTGGCATTTGCATGCGCCATCTTCTCCGAACCTAAGGTGTGTTCGCAAGAAGAGGTGCATAACCTCGGCGGGAATACTTGGTGCTTTGTGAACACGCACTGTAGACGACCGACTGGCCAATAAATTGCGGTATTCAACCCGTACGCACGTGATAAGGCCGGATGAGCCTACACTTGGAGGCCCGCTGACCTACCGACAGGCACCATCGGGCGGTTTCCAGGGTCTTTCCGATTAGGCGTCTCGCCAGCCCCTCCACAATGCACAGCTGCCGGAAACCCAACTGCGCAAAATTGATACAATAACATGTCTAGTACCGACACGTTCGTGGTTAAGCTTTGCAACCCTAGGTGCAGGCGCAATGAGTGGGAGCGCGACGCCGCCTCTCGTCGAACCATTCCATTTCGGTGCATGGTACCCAGCAACACGCCAAAAGCCAATATGACAACTGGGACGTGCGTCTGGTCGCAGCCTCACTCATCGCGCGCTTACGTCTAGAAGCAACTGTTGCGGAGCAGTGTCTGCGAATGGACATGTGACACGATCCAAGAGTACACTGGGGCCGACGCGCAGTAGCGTTTCTCACCTTGTAGCACCCAACATTGCAGGTTGGAATGGAATGGAATCATAGGATGGATCACGGGAAGAGACGCGTACCTGTGTACCACCGGACTGCGATTGCTGCGAGGCCTTTGACGAGCTCCCACTCTCAGCGGCACCTGACAAGCTCGCACTAGCACGTGCAAAGGCCCGATCCGCGATACCTGATAGCTTTGACGATTTGATCGCGGCAAGGGCAAGTTCGCGGATTATTCTTCTACTTTGTGGACCACTCGGAGCTAGGAAGGAACGGGCCTCGATTGTCGCCCAGGTCTCCAACGCACCGTTCACGCAGTCGCTCGACTCATGGTACCCACCAGAAAAGAGAGGGGACTCTTCATCGCTTTGAGCCATACTACCATGTTTCCCATTCATTCGCGGGATGACCTCAAGTCGACCGAGCCGTCACTTTTACACCATTGCGTGGATGCAAAGTCAGCGAGGTTGTGGAGGATGCAGCTTACCTAGGACCAGCGTCCCGCCTAAGGAAAAGCAGGGGTATCGAGCAAGCGAGGGTCGAGCATCAAGCACATCGAGCATAGTCTTACGGTAAATTAGGTCCTTCGCCAGATGAAAAGAGAGGATGGGCCCAAGAAGTGCTAAATTCGGGAACGAGCACTGTCGCACGCGAAAGCAAGTACTCAGGTCCCCAAGCGCGAGGGACCCAGGCGTTGGGCTCATCGAGCGCCACGAGCCTTTCGAGCAAATAATGTAATTGGCAACGGGCCCATCAGACAGCTTCGCGCAGGAATGCCAGCAATAAGGTCACCGAGCCCAACAACACCTGAGCGCAAAGTTGGTCGACCGAAATGAATGCGTCGAGCCTTTTCGTGCGCAAACGAAAAGCCCGCACGCCGCTCTTCTTGGCACATCGTGAGCGAGACCGAGGACCGCGAGCGGTTCGACCACCGCTCAGAACCACTCGTCGTGACCAGGCGTTTCCACCGGAGTGCACCCTTGGGGCGCACGAGTATCAAGCCCGACGAGCCTGCAGAAGTCAGACACACGGAAACGAGCATCGGAACGAGACTTCGCGGAGAATGGTAAATCATAAGTGCCGTGAAGGCCACTGTGAGGCGAGGTGCGATGACATATCAAGCTTTATAGCCCGCTATCACTTCCTCCGTCGGCGGAGCCTTGTTCGTGCCCTGATCCGCTAAACCGAGCGCGTCCACTCCTATCCAGGCAATGCGACTGCTTTCGCAATCCTTCTTCTAAACACACACACAACCCCAGCTCTATCCTGGGAATTCAAACGAGTTCAATCACGGGTGTGACGGAAAGTCAGAGCCCCAAGGAGCCTTCCGCCATCGCACAATCGACGTCAGGATCCACCAACCATCTGGATATGAAGCTCCTCAAGATCCTCGTTGCATTCCTCATCAGCATCCTCGCTGTGGCCGTGGCGCTCTCCTTCCCTCATCGCATCTCTCCCTTGCCTATTCTTCTCATACTCTATACGACCATCACCACGCCACTTTCACGCACCGGCCCCACCATGTTTCTCGACGTTACTATTGCCATCTACTGCCGCTTCTGCACGTGCTACCCGCTTTGGTTCTTCCTCGTGTACACGTTGTGGACGCGGTGGCTGAGTGAACAGCGAATGGCCGGCGGAGAACAGAGGCGGGCGCCCCGGCAGAGAGCGGGGAGTCGTCCCGCGAGGTCAAACCGTTCACATGTTACCGCTCAGGGTGGGCAGAGCGATGCGCAAAGCCCATCTGCAGCCCCTCGCGAAACCACCTCAGCGGTGACCAGAGGTCAAGATCGAGATGTCGATATGCCAGATGTGGATGTGGAGGATGTCGATATGCCAGATGCAGATATGCACGCTCCTGCCACAGCGGAGGAAGACCACGAGGCAGAATCCAGCGCGCGCCTCGCCGCGGTCTCTCGTGGCGGTGCCGGCGTCGCGGGACGGGAACAAGACCTGCAGTTCCGTCTCCCCGGTTCTTCGTTTTCTGCCAGGGCTCAACTTCCCTCTCTCTTTGCTGGACCCACACTCTTGAAGGACGCTCGCACTTTATCGGAGACCGCGTCCTCTTCTGCTCCCGACGCCGACGCTCAATCCACATCGTTCTCCGCGCCGTCTACCGCTCAAACCGCCGCCGCCGACCTCGCACTGATCAAAATCCCGCGCAACGTCGGACCGCGCCTTCTGGCCAGCAGGAAGCGAGCTCGTGATGCGACTTCTGTGCCGCCCGGATCGCCGTCCAGAACATCGTCATCATCATCGCAATTGACTGCAACGAGATCATCAACCGCAGCAGCATCCACAATATCAACGGCTGAGTCGATAGAGACAGCTTTACCACCCGCGGCGGACACGGCGCTCGTACTCTACCAGTTCCGCCTCAACATGCCGGGCTCGGACTTCAACCCGGAGCACGAACCGGCTGCAAAGAGACTCTGCACAGACAGGAACTCAACCGCGGGGTCCCGAGCTCCCTTTGTGAGGAAGAGCACGAATGTGCACGGCTGCTAAGACAAGAGGGGCTATGGGAACAACGACGGGAAGCCCATTTAGATGGGCTGCCGAGCCGTGTGCATCGAAGGTGTAGCAACACGTACGAGGCGCTCGTCGGACGATGCGTGTGTCAGGAAGCTCATTTGTAATGGGCTAAGGTAGACTTGGGGCTTTGTCAGGTGCGTACGTGGGCGTGTACAGGAAGCACACGCGTAGGATTTCCTAATAAGTCTCACGGTAGCTAAGAAGGGCTCTGTTGATGAGCGTAATAGACAAGGCAAAACCATAGAACAAGTAACGCTTTCATAACACGTTCCACTGCTCCGCAAATGTACGATCTCAAAGTCCAAGGTGAAGTAGGAGAGCATCATCTCAGAACCATTGTATTTCAATTGCTTATTTGTTTCCTTGGTAAGACGGGAACCTGTCACCCGCGAAGAATGTACCAGATTTGGGGACTCTCAAGTTAGTACATATTCTCCTACCCCTACAACCTCATACAGATAAATGCAGGCATACGGCATATGACCAACAACTTGATGCTGCTCCTCATGCCACTATAGGCATGACTCGACACCCCTACCGGGGCCATGGTACGGAAAAGCAGGGTGTACTATTTCAAATCTTACCAGTGGGACCAGCGACTGATGATGTTCAATCACAAACTCAAAACCATGGAAAACTTCCTCGAGACAATATCATTGTCACGACGGAGAGACGCAAGGGCTGATTGCAAGGCGAAAGAGACACTCTACTTCCCGATAAGGTGGTCAAATGCGGCTTCGAACAGCGTAAACTGGGTGGCCGTAAGCTGCAACGAAAGCGCCCGGACCGGGCTGGAACCTTCGCATTATCATTTTCACGTTTGGCCTGCTTCGTCTCCAAACCCCGCTTCTCGTCCTGCATCCGACCAAGCTGGGCATCTTTGCTCGTATGTAGCGCCAGCGGGTACGTAGTCTTACTGTGAAGAGGTCCAAGCTAATCCCGGGACCACGACGAGCGTTACGTTTGGGGCCGGTCGAGGACACGATATCAGTGGGTCATCGGTTGGGAAAGGAGAGCCATCCAACCTGATTGCCGTGCCCCTGTCTACATGAAGGGCATTTCCGAGTTCGATGGGGCGCTCGGCTGCCAATCGCTGTGTAGGCGCGCCTTGAAGTGCTCGTTCCCGGCTTTAGTGCTTCCACTTGATGAAGCTTCTCATCGAACATCGCGTTCAGCGCAGAGACAATCTAATTGTACTTGAACTCCACCTCGCTACACTCGGGTGCTAAATCGGGTGCGCGCAGATATCCTGTCATGGTATACCGTGCGTACATGTACGGGATAAGACAAGCTTTTTCGTAGACTGTCGTCAGTCGCAGTTTCAAATGGAGTCCCCTTCTCGCTGCCATATTGGCTTGTCGATTAACTATATTCTAGGACATCGTGACATTGCATACAACTGCTTGCCTCTCTCGTCGAAGAATCCATTGTTCTTGAATACTGCCCTTTGACTGTGTTTTGCACTCATTCAAATATGTATGGGAGTCCTCGCCGTGGCTGAGTTCTATTGTTAACCTCACAATGTCTGTGCGTCAATATTCTCAAGGTATTGGTGGATACGTGTACCGGAGCAGTAGATGGTAAATTTTATATCATGTTTTCCGGTAGCACACGCCGCTGGTCCAACTTGACATGTGTTTTGCTCTACTCTTATTGCTCTCAGATCTATGTTTCATTCCTCTACTTCCCACTGTGGAATAGGTCCATGTTTTCACCGAGTGGTCCCTCGGGTTGTTCCATTTACATGCACCGCCATCTAGGTTGGGATGCATCGAAACCAGACAATTACGGATTTGTGATGAGGAGATATATGCAGGCAACGATGCTGCAATCGAACATATTCGGAATCTGAGGAAAGTAAATGGGCCAGGGCGTTGACTAACATACTCGGTAGATACGAAGCGGCGAAAATGCGTGGTGTGGTCGGTGGGAAGAGGTTGCAAACGTTGTTTATGATGATGAGAGCGCTAAATATGCGTGCACCTATGAAGCGGGAAGCGAAAGATCACAGGAGGGTTGCCCATAGAAGAGGCAGAAATCCATTGAGCAGGTAGTCGTGACATGAAGAAGAATAATGTGGTGTTGGCTGGCTTATCTTTTGCGCGGCTGTTTGGGGGCTTTTCGGTCGTCATGCGTCCCGTACGGAACTGGCAGCTAGACTTCAAATCTGTGGTACTATTAAAGCACAATGAACTAACGTATCAGAATTTTTCCTAAACGGGAAGAGACGAGTTGAATAAAGAATACTTGTCGCTGGTTCCAGGTCTGGACTGTTGGTGCAAATCATGTTTCCTAAAGCAATTTCGCCGTAGATTCACTCCTCATAAGCTGTGATTGGCCTTCAACGTGATGGAAAAAAGACCGAAGCCTTATTCATGACCCTTCAGCGTGTTGGTCTCGAGATTCTTCCACGAGTCAAGGATCTGGTTGTCCAAAAGTTACAGCCCCTGGATCGAAAATCTGCAGCATTCGGACTCGATGTAGGTACACTGGCTCCATTTCACCGCGGATGTACGACTCCAGAGACCTTGAGCTGGCATGTAACTAGGTGGGAGCTGGCACGTATCTAGGCAATGAGCCTGCCCCCACCTTCACCACGGACTCTCCGTTTTACCTCTCCCTCGCTGCAGTGTTTGCGTCCAAGTCAGAGTCGGCGTCGATGTCGTCTCTTCGCCGCGTACACAGAAACACTTGTTGACCCTCGTGGTAGTGTCCGGAATCAGATCCCACATTCTTGTTTTGAGCATGCCCGACGAGGAGCGGTATTGAACCTCATGTTTATCCGCCCGCTTGAGTATTGAACCACTATTAATTGCGAGCTGAGTCCCATGGCAGCATTGAGACGGCTACGTATCCATTACAGGGTTCATAGCAGTCGTTGGACTACATGAGCATAGCCCGGCTTCTGTACTTGGGTCGTAGCTCACTCCTGTATTGACCTACCTACTCGTGACCTTTCGATAGAGCTTTCGTGTAGCTTCTCGGGACCCTGTACGTGCGGGGTTTTTTTTGGCCATTTTAGGGAGAAAACAAAAGATAAAAGGCAGTAGACCAATCCGTTCTGTTAACGTAGAAACTGGAGAGAGTACTTCAAAGCCCTGGAGGTGCGGTAACATACGAAGTGGATGTGCAAAGTCGGGACATGTAACGATCCTGACTGCACTTCAGCTTACGCACTCCTGGGTTTTGTATCCTACCTTATCCCAGACCAGCGGTCGACCCGCAGCGAGGGCGGCCAGGACGTAGAAGTTTTCCCCAATACCCGCTCGCTGTGGTTTGCGGCTCGAATACCCCGTCTTGGCCATGCAACCTTCCGTGAATATCGAGGAGAAGGTGCGGACGTTCACTATAATCTCCTAGAGAAGTAGATTGTAGCCTATAGTCCTTTCCCGTCTAGATCCTTGGACGGGTTACCCAGCGCGAACTAGGCATTATTTTGATAGATGGTCCTGGCATCGCGGCGCTGCATGGCTGGCATGAATGCAATGAAAAACTGGCCAGATTAGTCTTTCCTTCAATAAACTGGTTCTTGCTTATTGGCAGCGCGCGATGAAGAAGAGTGCAAGCGCGAGGTTGTGATTACCCAGTTGTAGATTTGTGATGTAGCTCCTAGAAACCGTAATGGCGACGCTGTGCCAGCTGCGAAAGCCCTTTCTCAGGAGCTGCACCCCTCTGCTATTTGCAGGAGACTGTGATTGTGGTTTTATCATGATTGGAACGTGTTGTTCACGTTGATACACATTTATGTGGGGGATCGTTGCTTATTCAACTTCAAAAAGCATCTGTGATAGACAAGGGGGTATTCTCGAAGGGAGTACTGTCGAAAAGAGTGCGCGGATGGAGCTCCGCCACTGAGTCATGCTTCAAACTCCCTAATCAACTCGCAAGCGCGACTAGGACATGATGCGATTAATCTGCTAGAGCGGGAGTGCAGCCGTACTGAGAGACCGGATACGGGGCTTTGATGGTATCCTTTGCTGTGTCTTGGTCTTGGGGATTCAGTGCCTTTGGCGCCATCATAGACAAGCATCGTACATGAAGGTGGTCCGGACAGTGACACCAAAAAATTACAGCATCGGTGCGGACAACAATCCTGTTCTCGATTTACAATTCCGACAAAGTGAACGTTTCGGATCATGTCTAGTGCAATGAGCTGTGCGTCGGATTTGGAGCTATCCAAGCTTGATGTCAATCAGAGTCTAGGTCTGAGTCCGCCATCCTCCACCCAACAGCAAAGCCCACCAGCTAGTGTACTGTTGCGTCGTGGAGAAATTCGATCGGGGTAGGCCGAGGCGTGCGCAAGAGCAGCATTGCATACGTCCCGGGTGCCGCTTCGGCTATTGAGTCGCTTCATCTATGGGAACACTATATTGAGGGCGACAGGACGCGTGAACGCAGGATCAGCCCATCGACACCAGGTCTGTGCAGTCGAGGTTGTGGAGAGGAGGATACGGCAGCGGCGCCTATCGTGCAAGATGTAGCGGCTCCCTCCCGTCATAAAAGTATGACAAGATCTGACATGCTGCTTCGTGTCGTCCAGCAAGCTGTAAGTTTGGGTTGTGCAAGCTGTGTGTTTTGCGTAGGGAGAGGTACTACCTTCGTCGAGTACGGGGGGTAAGAAATGTCGGTTCAGTCATCGTCGTAGTGTTCTGACTTGTGATAGGGCGCGTTCGTCGCCTGACATCCGCAATGTCGTCGTTCCTAAGGAGCACGGATAACGTTTGTATGACCGAGCCTCTATCGCACGGCTATGAGGAATTTCGGGAGTACACGTGTTTGTATTGCGAATGGTGAATGGGCATATGAACAGCTTATGGATGTGAGAACGACATACGCGTCGGTTGTCCCAGTATAACGGTGATGCCCGAAGGTTGCTCTTGCAACCTCCATCCGAATTTTGAGGATCACTTACCTGAGACTGCGAGATGGCAGCACAGTAGATGCAACGTGATTCCCGCCAGCCAGGGCAGATTTCCACATACTCATCGGCTCCCATTGTGTGGCGAGGCTGTGACTCCTCGCCAGTAGCTGCAGGTACTCGACGGACTCGATCAATGCCCCAGCGAGAAATGAGGGTGAGTTGGCGTTGAGGATGCCGATTGAAGCCGTTGAGATGACCAGTCCTGTTACCTAACCTTGCAACAAGGATACAATCTGTTGATTCGATTGATGGATAGACTATGTACTTAACCCTGTGCGGCACAACCGGTCCGGCGCGATCTGTTCAAATGGATATCTCGAACCAAGTCTCCAACATTTTCATAAATGCCTTTTGTTCCTTCCGAAGTACATGACGAGGGCATGCGGTATTTCGGGGTGGCTACTCTGCAGATTCGGGTGGTGGTTTGCTTTCTTCGCTCTCTCTGACCTTTCGCTTTCCTGGATTCTGACCTGGTCCGCGCGGGAGAGGTATTTAGCAGGGTAATTCATGCGAATCTTGGACATGAGATGATTGAACTTCATAGGTATGACCCTTGAGATAGTAAGTAAGATGGAGAACGAGTGTTGTCCGAATCACTTCACAGAGGAGTTGGGTGAGTCGTTTTCTGCGTCTTGGGAAGTCGGTGCACAGTTTGGCACCTGGTGTAGCACGACCGAGCTCTGCACCGGAGCGCTTCATTTTCGACATGATCTACCTCCGCGACGGCCACGACGGCAATCGTAAGTAGGGGTCTGTTGAAATCCACCACAACAATATCCCGTATGCCCACGGCGCGGGTAGTATTGGTTTGTTGACATCACCTTTGGGAACGGGATCCTCAGGGCGGGTAGTCTTCTTCCTCCATCCGTGTGCTACCTGTTGATGAACGAGTGAATGGCCGCTTGCCACGAGAAGCTTCCCATACTAAGTAGGGTGGTGATATTCGTTTAGCATGGAGAACAAGTAATTGTCATTCCGCTTGTGGGAGTACTTGGCGATGCAGACAAACGGGCGGCTTACTGGATAGACGGGTGTTTGGAGAAGGCTTACTGGTATTGCTGTCTGGAGATGTCGATACTATGGTAGTTGAGGACGCCTTACTTTGCCTTGTGATGACTTGTGAAGAACCATGGTAAGAGTTCTGCGTTTCCATCAAGGATGAGAGGATTGAGCGACAGAATCCGACGCCACAGGCAGTTTGTTGTGGTGGAGCGGGTGGCGCTGCGCTAGCGTGAGTGAGGGCTTCTGAAGAGGGAAGGCGCGACTACGATATGGCGCCCCACAACGTGAACGCGTACTCTAAGCAACCTCCCACCACACCAAGCTTTAACCTCTCCCCAAGAAAAAAGTCAAAAACGCGACCTCGTTACCCGCACCACCATGGCTTCCAACGGCACCGTCACGCAAATGATCGAACCGAACTCTGTCCCCGCATCGGATGGCAAACCTGGCTCAAACAGTGGCACCGCAGCTGTTGAGTACGTACAGGGTGCTGGAACAGAGGCCCCGCCCAACTCCCCCGTTCTGTGTACGTTGCCCGCCGATCGTGTGGCTGGGTGCTGACAAGGTGCAGCACCGCAAGATAATTTGTCGCCCCCGCATGACTTCGCGAAACTGGTCGTCGCAATGATGGCTGAGAAGGGACTCATCAGCCAGTGGCAACGCTCGGCTTGAATCTTCTGTACGTCTGCACCTATCTACCACGAAGAAGTTATATCTGACCACGGGGAGAGACAAAGCACAACGTGCCCAATGTCGTGGAGAAGGTGAATGAACCGAGCTCAGTTGATCTAGGATGACTAGATGGAGAGCATGTCGATCGTGGCTTGCGGCGGATGGAGGAATGGAATTGTCGAGGAGAAAAGCCATCAGATGCTCCTCTACAGATCTTGAGCAATGATGTCCAAGTTCTTAGCATGTGCTCTGGACAGTGAACAAATAACAAAATGCTGAGATGTGGATGGGACTAGTCACCTTTGTGGCACTGATCACCAACCAAACAATTTCTCACGCCCAATGTTTCCTCCCCCAACGATGGAACACAATACCCACCCAATCAGCCTCTTGCTCGCGAGGACGTCTTTGTGTTCGATGGCAGCACTGGAACCCATCATCACCACCGTTTCAGGCTTGTTTGACGTACCTTCTAATGCTGCTCACGGCCGCAAACGCTCACAGCTGGAGAGTGCATATGCAGTTCAAGTATTAATGCTCGTGTGGATGCCCACCGCAATGGATGCGCTGATCGAAAACGAAGTCGGCTTTGAGATGGCCAACTACCACGCTGTTGGTCATAGATCGAAACACAATGGAGAAGTGCATGTAGGTAATGTGATTTGGTTGGAAAAGACCATTCAGAATGGGAAGCAGCCATGGAACCTCATTCCAGTGCCATTAGACAGTATGGCAAAGAACCCAGAATGCGGGTCGTCTCGCCGTCCGTCGCCGTACCGCCCACGGTATCGCAAGCTCCGATATAATCCCCGTGACATGATCTGCCGCAACATCGCCCATATTTCGCCGCAACTACTTCAGTGACTGCATGCCCTCCAGCTCCCAGCCCTAGCGTGTGTCCTTTTCCGCCGCCTTGTCCTTCTCCGCCGCCTTGTCCTTCTCCGCCGCCTTGTCCTTCTCCACCGCCTTGTCCTTCTCCGCTCCCTCCGCCTTCTTTACGTTCTTCCTCGGGATGTACTCGGGTGAATACCGTGTCCTCTTCTTCGCGACGGGTTGATTGTACCGCTGTCCTCCGGACCTAGAAAGGACATCAGTATGACGCATCCTAGCTATCGTATTGTCTCACTTACGTGAAGAGGTAACTGTACGATGCTGAACGACTGCTGTTCACTGCGCTGCCGGTGGTCGTGCCGCCGCCGGAGACACCTGAGCTATCGTGGGTGCTGGCCTTGCGTCCTGCGTCGCCACCGACAGCCGTGACGGGGTCGCACTTGTCGTTGGTAGCGTCACTGCACTTGGGTGGAACTTGCGCAGCCATCTTGAATGTCGAGTGACGGTGGCGCGCTTGAGGAATGTCGCTGCGGGAAGCTGTAGCAGTGCTGGTGAGGCCGTCGAGCTGTCGCAGGGAATATTTCGCAGTGTTCGCAGGGGGGTTGTAGTGGCGATGTAGAAGCTCGGGTGGGTGACGCCCGTCGTCGAGGTGATTGCAGGGATTGTGGGCCGGTACAGTCGTTCCTTCTTGTTTGAACTACAACCACCCACACTCACTAAATCACCACACCGAGCATCGCAAGACTTCCCACAACTCGCTGTCGACACCATGACGCCAAGTACCATTGCTTCTTCGAACATTGTGCAGATCCTGGAGGGGCTTCCGAGGATGTCGAGCGAGACTCCTGGCTTGGAAGCCCTGGGTCCTCCCAAGCCCGGCACTCGTGCTCCGCCAAGCTCCCCTGTGCTGCGTAGGTTTCCCGCTCTTTTGCATGGCTGATTGCTGACAGGGTACACTGCAGGTGCAAAGCCTGTGGCCAGGTTGGCGCAGATGGTGGAGGAACTCGAGATGCTCATCGCCAATGACGAGCAGATGCGACTTGACAAAGACCGACTTCAAGCAGAACTAGAGGTTCTCGGTGACATGGAAGGCATTCCGCACGCGGAGCTTCAAGCAGAGAAGTCCAACAGTGAGCGCGAGGAGGGTGCCCGCCAGGGACAGGACAACTGCCCGAAGCTGCACATCTCAGGCAAGCGCGACGCAACGTGAGTGTCGTACGTGAAATAAACCCCACCCCAACGAGCCATGCTGACGGCTCCGGGCAGCTGCGAGCAAGATGTGCTCGGAGATGGAGTCAACTCCTCGGATCCGTCCATCTTGACTGTCAGACCGCGCTCACATTTTCCAGCTGGACCAGCTGTCAGCGACTGCGAGGGAGACTTTGTATGTAGAGTTCACCGTACCAAATACATACTCTCTCTCGATGTTGCACGCGCATGCAGGTGCCCGTGATCCGCTTTCTATAGACATTGCCAGGGTAGGCAGCACATGGTCCAAGTGTGCTTTCCCTTGCAACACCACGTTCACGTTTGCAAATGGGCCAAGTCAAATCGTAGGATGCTTTCATTCAGCTACACACGGTGGGAGCCGAGCTCGGGTAACCAAAAAGGGCTGAGGCCGGGTATCGCAGGAAAAACGAAGCGGCAGGGGCGCGGATCGTGAGGTAGAAGCATCTGTCCTCCACCGAGAGCCGAGGACAATGGTGTACATGATGAAGGGGCAAGGGAGGATTGTCCATGAAGGCATCGAAAAGAGCATTCTAGAGCAAAGGAGCCAGACGGCCGGACGCTTATGGTGGGGAATGTGGCGAATGTTGGAGAGGCAGTTGTGGCCGCTCATGAATTGCCTGGGCAGTTCATGAGGACGCCGTTGTACTGGATAGGAATCCGATCAGAACCATGTCCCTCTGACGTTGCCGAGCGCCTGCGTTTGGTACCCTTGAGGCCCCACGACTGGAGATGGTGTTTGATGGAAGTGAGTCGAGCACCGGTACTGTAGGCTTTCGGGCTTCCTCCATGTCGACTTCGTCGGACAGGGAGTAGGCTCCTCGGCCAACGGTCTCCATGTGGTGAACGAGCACTTCCTCGCCGCTCTTTGTGCGTTCCGACTCGCGCCAATGAATGTGGAATTGCAGCTGCTCGCCATCGGTGACTATCGACAGGTGGCATGTCTGCAAGAGGGTTGGGCTGGCACCAGCGCGCTCGTACAATTCGAAGAGGTGATTGACAATGGTAGCCCCATCGCAGCCGCCTTGCAGTCTGGCGTCGTAACTGTTTTCTGCACCCGTCGGACACTTCCATTGCATCGTCAGAAACGGCAGATGCAGATGACCTGGGGAATGGATGCAAAGTTAGCGAGCGTTGGATCAGGATGCCACATGGCGCACCGACCTGTGAGAGGCTCGAAGTCCAACTTGTCCTCCGCTTCCTCATCAAAGGCCATCTGCACGCCCGCTTTCCTGGCGCTCTCTCGAACAATGTATCCGTAGCATACGTCGTGCTGAGGCTGCGTTGACGGCTTGTGCAGCTCTACGACTGACGGGCGAAGTGTCTGAGGGAGGAATTTCTTCTCCAGGTTGGGTTTGAGGCAGTAGTCCACACATGGAACACCACCCAGCAGCTCTCCCTGCAGGCCCTCCATCAAAACTGGAGTGAGCTTGTGGATATGCGTGTCTTCGCTCTCAGACCTTATGGACGCTGCTACTTTGACCGTTTTCTTTCCATAAGGTGACGTCGATCCTTGTCTTGGTTTGCGGATGGTGTTGTTTATGTAGTCCTGCAGCTCCCGCGGCATCGGGCACTTCTGCAGGACATGTATATCGTACGCGAGGAGCTTCTTGTTATCGTCCATGCTTTTCGGCATCGTGGCGGCGCTCCCTTCGTCGGAGCAGCTGAAGCTGGCGGTATCGCTGGCCTTTGCGCTTGGGGGGAGACGCTCTCGAATCTCGCACGATTGCCGTGAGTAAGCGGCGACACGACCTGTGCAAGACGCGTGGCAGGCGCTGCGTCGATGGGCCGAGGGCGTATAGTGCTGTTCTCCGAGCTGGCGAGGGACCAGGTATCGGGTTCAGAGACGTCTCGCTGATGCAGCGGTCGGTCTGCTGCGGGCAGACATGTATGGAGTTTGAGGCTGCAGTCCACCACCATGGGCCTGGGTGCGTAGTGACGGTGTCGCGAGCAGACGGACCTGGGTCGCTATCGATACGGCAAGGCCAGCCCGAGCGCCAAGCTCAGCTCATCGCCATCCTTCTTTCGCTGCCCACCGCGGCTCTCTTTCATCCTCGGTTCTCGCAGCCGCAGCCCACGCCTTTCGGCATTCTACAAGCAGGCCTGGAACTATTCAAGCAGCGGGAAAGACGATGACAAGCGCTGGATCGGGTACGTGTTGGCGTACGAGTGAGTGCTAGCTCGGAGGAACGACCAGAGGTCGTGCATCACCGCACGAGACACGTGCACACTGAACACAAAGCAGCTTCGCTGCCTAATAGCGAAGGGCTACGCATGCAGGGAGGGAATCCATCCACTCCGACCAAGACTTGACGAAAGGTCCTATCGTTCCATACGCATGACAGAGGCCGTTTCACTCTTCCTTACCCTACAGCGTCCATGGCGAGGTCTTCGTGCGACGGCACCTGCTCTCGGCGCGGGCCATCTGATATCCGTGCCCTCGTGCAAACACACGTCTGGACCCTGGACCGAGAGAACGTATGCGTCCGCGATGTTCGGCCGCTACTCCGGTCGGGGATCCTCTCTATCATGTCGAGGGTAGCTGCCAACGTGACCGAGGAGATTGGGCCAAAGGCTACGCAACTCCGACCGGTGTCGAAGACGGGCTGAGCACATTTGAGGCATAACGTGCTGCCTACTAAGAGCTGCTTGACAATCCTTGCAGCACTTGACACCTTTCAACGAACACCGGCAACGTGAGCGTGATAAGAAAGTCGTTCTTTGTCTGAATGGCAAGTTGCTCACAATCCGATGCAGACTATTGTGAGGGACCCTTATCAGCGGGAAACCCATCTTGACCTGGAGGCTGCCGTCCTCCTCTCTGAGATCTATGCCGATGGAGAAAGTCTAGTCTGTTCTGCCAGCTTGTCGAATTGGGCTGCTCCATGAATCCCTAAATGGTCCATCGCGACTTTTGTGAATTTTCCAAACTTCGCAAGACTAATGTAGTACGTGTTTACTCCTAGATTCAGAATCAGCAATGACATAGTTAACGTGCCCCCATATCCAGGATTCTTGATATCTGTCTGTGTGCCATCTACCACACGAATCCTGAGCTCGTTCCAAATCATGTTGGTAATGTTTTCTGCCCTCAAAGACTCCACACCTTTCCTGGGAGCCCGTGGCCCAATGATATCCCACGGCTGCTGCGTATCCACTGTGGTAATTCCATTCACCGTCAGCCATTGCGCGCACGGTAACGAAGCAAGAATCGGCGCAACTTCACACTAAGGAACCAACTGTTGGCAGAACTATACGGCGACCCACGAACGTCGACTACAATGAACCCTCGAAGAGACTGCGCAAGTCCACCGGCTGGACAACTGCCCTGGCTTACTTTCCAAGCACGCCCCTCTCCGAGGAAGGGTCTCGTTCACCCGCAGCACCAGACGCCGACGGATTCTGCGCAACAGATATCAGAATAGGTGGAGATGCATGCTATCATATTGTGAATGCAAAAGGCTTGTCCGTGGATGATATTGAGCGCTTGAACAAAGGGCGGGACTGGGGATGGATGAGCTGCGATTCGCTTCCGACTGGCATCATTATCTGTCTCCCAACAGGCGACGCACTGCGCCAAAAGGCTTGAAGGTGATGTCTGTGTACCTGAAAGACTTGGGACCTTGTCCGTCCCCCTCAAGTTCTTGAGGGTCCATTAAATTCCTGCTACAACACAGAGCGCCACTGCACCATCACGTAAGTGTAATGCCGATTCATGATGATCTGCTAGATTATCATACGCTTCTACGGACCTGCTCTGTGCGAATATCATCCAGAGGGGTCCTCTAGTACATCAAAGTTGGAGAACAGGTGAGCTGGAACTGCAGCACGACAATTACCAATACATCTTCACTTCCAAAACAATTCGGATGGATCGGGCATTGCGACTCATCGAACTTTGATGGTGGGTGCCTGTGCCTGGCTGCAGGGGTTCCCAACCGTGATGGATCGTACACCCACATATGCTGTGATTGTCGATTCGATCGATGTGCTTGGAGATCCGAGTTCGGGTTTCTATCTCGACAATCGCAGCAGTTCCTGGCCATCCCGGAGCGCAACATCATCTCAATCGGAGGTTGGGCATTTGCCACCGAGCTTGGGATGTCCAATAACCTGCGCGAGGCGCTGCAGGAGGCAAACCATGGCACAATTGCGACCAATTTGGCCCGATGCTTCCGCGACAAGAAATTTGATGGCGTTGATTTCTATTGGGAGTACCCAGGGGTTTTTCCCTTGTCTGCTCTTGTTCAGCGCTGACCGTGTGGATGGGTAATGGACGTCCCAGGCATCACCCCTGGTAAGCCTACTGATGGGCAAGCTTATCTGCGTTTCCTCAGCGCCATGAGGCGCAAGATCGATTCAACCCAGGTTCTACTGGTGCTTACCTATCCAGGATGGCGGAACTGCTCGATGGCATGTGTATATGATGTACAATCTGCATCATATGTTCGTGAATATTCCACGCCTACTATCGTTTCGAAAGCGAACCAATGCGAAGGTCAGTGGGACTCGGGCGATCCGAGCTCAGTCGGAGGCTGTCCGAGTGAGAGCTACCTTCGGAGCCATGGTGACACAATGTCATTGCATCGGCCTCCCTACACTGACTGTTCGTTTGGCCAATCTCGCGGAGACATACTATACCTTTGCAATGATCACAAAAGGTGGGTCACCAAGTGTTTCGTGGGTGAGTGTAAGGTGGCCGTAAGCGCGCGTCGTGTTGCCTACTCATCGCACATAGGCGGAACGAGCTGCGTTGTGTCGAGTCAGCGGGGATCGCGCCAACTCTGAAGCTGCAAATGAAGCCTGTACGAATACCGCTGGCTTCATTTAAAACGCCGATATCGACAGCATCCTATCTCGACAGCATCCTATCCACATACGACGTCATCCGAACGTGACACGACTATGAATCATCAGGATAGACCTTCTCGTATGCAACAGTGAGTCCAACCTCCACAAGCGCTTATCGCCAAGTTCATTTCGCTGCGAGTATAGGTACCGAATCGGTCGCGTATAGGAGCGAGCAAACGAAAACTGTGCATCGAGAACGCTGGCGGGCGAAGAACGTAAGGCTCGGCGGACGGGAAGGTCGATCTGCAAGCCTTGAAAAATGCCGGTGGCTCTCGGAAGAAGGCGCAGAGCCCTGGAACGATGACACGGATGACAGGCCATCACTGCTTCCGCCTTTCGATGCCACATGCGATAGCGTAGACGCCACTGAAAAGTCTGATGACACGATTGCTTGGCATTGGCGAGATCTTAATGTCGTGGATGTGTTTTAACGCACCCTCGCCGAGTCCCACGCCCAGTACGACCGGTGGGTAAAGTTCTACACCTATGCCGACGCTGTGGTCGCTTCGGCGAAAAAGTTCATCGTTAGCTTCACGAACGATGCCCCTCGGCTGCACATTTGATCACGAGGAGCAGCGCAAGAGCATCCACCAGGTCCAGTATCGGTTTCATCGACCTGATCTTGTGTCATCGGGGAGACCGTTTCCCTGCGGTGCGTTTAGCACGGTTGGTTGAGAAGGTGAGGATGGTATGGTGTGGGGCCGTACAGTCGAGCGCTCAAGTCTGTCAAATTTTCGCAGACGCGCTTACGACTTCCCTTGGACTCGTTCCATCCGCGGGAGCATAGCCTATGGGGTAGGAATAGTCGTACTCCGTCTCGTAGTGTTCGCGTTTCTGGTCGTGAAAGCAGTACCCAGGGACAAATACGCTGCGTAGCTCTACCTTCTCGGAGGCGTTCCATTCTCTGACAGTACATCTGCCCAGGACCAATCTTCCTCATTCTCTCGAAGCATCCACAGACTTTTTTTGTCGTACAGACCCAGTCCGGGGCGGAGAGTATAGTCTGCTGGACAGACACCGGGTATGTTCTTTCCGACATGGGTACGTCGGCGTCATTTCTAGTCCGGGACAGATATGCACAGTGTGAAGGGGCTCCCTACAGTGCACCGTTGCCGGAGGGTAGAATATTTGGAGACTGGGATTGGTATCCCCACTATATTGGGGGTTCGAACTGCTCCAGCTTCCACTGCGATAGCGACACTTGGCCAAGTCATGAACTTTGTGACAGTGCTCACAACAGACAAACTCTTTAGGTGGATGCCAGTAGAAGTACTCGGTGCCGGAATGCTAGAGATCGCCGAAGACATAAACGAGAAAGACCACGAACGACGCAAAGCCACTATCGTACACTCTCTCCCTTCGATTCTTTTCATTTTGGCTGTTGTTGGCGAAATCCTCGGCTTGATCGGGTAACTTGGCTCGCTTGCGAACTTGGCCTGCTTCAGCTCCGTCTTTGGCGTTGTGGGAGATTCAGTGCTAGACCTTCAGAGACTTGTTGAAGACAAACTCAACCTCCTGGGTAATTTTGGTCTTGTTCTCACACCGCTGGCCTTGACAGATGTGGTGCGGATGTCGAAGGGAGTAAGCATGCGCAAACACTAGATGCAAGAGGAACTAGGCAAATTGAGAGCGCAGCATCCACTGGGGTCCATATCTAGGACCAGACGTAAGCTCAGCGTGAGGCCTCCAGGCTTTGCTGTGCGTAAAGTATGCGTCGCGCGGTGGCGCTGACTGGTGCATCGGGTTGCTGGTTCGCGGAGGATCCCTCTTGCTTGCTATATTTCCGTGAAGCTGGGCTCTTGCGTTGGTGGGATCCGTCGCCCCCAGGCGGAGCGTGGTCGCCTGTTCTGCACCACCGCACGTAGGGAAAGCTTGGGCCGTATAGCCCCAGATGACGCCACGGATCAGAGGCATGCATTTTCACAGACATCCCAGCAGGCGTGTACGCACAGGTACAATGGTCGCTGTGGGTAGATACAAACCACTGGATCGACATGGTCGTGGCCACGTACATAGCGGCAAAGTGTTTTTCCGCGCCGAAAGCAAAAGAGGTTGACGTATTGCGCGAATAGCCCCATCCATGAGACGCAACTTCTTCGATTAAGAGAGTTACCTCTTGACCAAAGCCTCGCTCACATTCGTCGACTTATGTCCAGCTCATTGACAGATTCCACCACGTGCGTTCAAAACCAATCGCAAACTTCGGCGCGCACCAAGCCAGATCCAGGCGCTCTTACGATTTGGCTGCCATCTATCGCAATCTCCGCTCCGCAACTCTTGCAAGTCACGGAGCACGCTACAAGCGTACCTAATTGCACTGACTCTTCCTAGCGTCTCCACGCGTACGTCGGCCGGAAGCCTTGCGTCGCGTCAGGTGACCACTGCGGCTCCCGCGGCATTTTCTCGCCACACTATCAGCCTCACCGACTTTTCATGGCTCGTCCCGCGCGCAAGGGTAAGTCCGCGGACTCGCGTCCTCACCCTGTGAAACGTCACAGAGTCCAGGATTGCCTTATGCCCACCCTGTCGGACGACAGCACTCCAGCTTAGCCTCTAACGGTGGACAATTTTGGCAGACTCCAAGACACCTCCCCTCCTGCTGAGCCAGATCTCGACAGCCGAAGCGAACTTCCGAACACACGGCCACGGATTTACTGGAGTTCGATAAACTACAGCGGGTGTCATCGTCGAACACCAGGAGTAGATACCACCAAGTGTTCGGCAACTCATCAACGGCCTCTTTCAGGCAGCGTATGTTGTTGCAAATGCTCACGTAGCCCATCAAGGCGGCCAAAAGCGTGCGAAGGAGCTTCCTTGCGAAAGGCATCGGCCTTGTCTGTTTCTTCGATGGAGGCCACCCGCTCTCAGCCCGTCATCCAGACATGCAGCTGCACAACGCATTCCTCCCAAACTCGCCCACTGCCACTTCGGATACGCGACTGGAACAAGCTCAACCGGATCTCGCCAGCGGCTATCTTCTAAGTCGCGACAAGGGTCGAGCCCCGGTGCCCTCTACTCGACCCAAAGACCAGATTAGGATAGGGGTGGTGCGAAGTCCTCGGACTGACCGGCTTCGCTCACTCGATGTGACAGCTCGCCTGTTCCTGCCCTACTCTACGACTCAACGAAAGACCCACGACTTGGTGTGGAAAGTCATCGCCCAGGGAGCTCGTCATGGTACGGTCATGAACGAGCACCTCCGCGCTCTTCACTAGACCGCTCAAGGTCCCAACGATCGAACTGATCCGAACGTAGTGCTTACGACGCACCTTCGAGGGTACCGCGCTTATCCTACTTCTACAGTCCCAAGAATGGCACCTATCACTTGGAACCCGTGAATTATTCCGTGCCGCGGTTGAGTTCCATGACGCGCTACCGAATAATTTTGCGCAATTGGAAAGACTACGCCATGGTCCCTCGTTTCCATGCTATCAAGAGAGCACTTGGGAACACTAGTCCTCATTCCGCGGCTGATGCTGGGCAGGGCACTGCCCAGGGCGACCGAACTACTCCACCCGTGGCTGCACCGCCACACAAGCGCGGCCCGATTCGGAAGATGACACTACCCCTTCGATCTTCTCCGAGTCCGTGCCTAGGAGGAGCGCTCGTCTTCAGAATCCGAACGGCGACTGGACACACTTCAACATCAACCAAACATGCGTTTTGGGCGCACAAAAGCCCCTTGCGACGGTCACTTTTCTTCGTTACTTCCTATTTCCTGCTATCCCGGTTCGCAAAACGAATGTACGATGGTGTCAGGAAAAGGCGTTTGGTGTTTGGATGATACCCAGAACACGCCTCTCACAGGGCTGGGAATTATGCTCTACTGGTTTTACCACCCAGCACAGACCGCTCAAATAGCCAGGATCCCTGGTCTTTTGGTTTGCACTGTGGTAATAGTAGGGTAGTACTTCAGATGCGCTTAGCTAATTTCCTGTGCATCGCTTCTTCCCAGACTCATCTCGTCTCAATACAATCTTGCGCTGGTTCGAGATGTAGGTCCAGGACAATAGTCTGAGCGCTGTGATTATTCTCAGGGAAGCACTACGTAGGTTGATTCTAAGAAGCACCGGGCTGTAGGATTCCTCGTGGCCTGCATTGAAATATCAAACATACACTGACTACGGGAAGGGCGCTGGGTCTGGGCACAGTGTGTTGCACCCGGATATGGTAAGCTAACAAAGGTGACGCGTGTGGGAATATAGCGCGAGCGCGTCAAGACGCGTCATCAGTCCAGACATCGGGCATCCACCACTAGCTCTGCAACTCATGGTCCCCGCAGAAATGGTTGTTTATCGTGGTGGTGCTTTGAGTCTTAGAGAGTGCACCGTCGTCCACCTTTTGCCTCCACACAGGCTACGGCAGCAGAACCTCTGGGTCATCGGACATGGCCTATCTCATACGACTGATCGCCCTAGCTAGGTGTACTGTCTTCGTCCAAGGCGGTGGCCCCGAGCAATTGAACAAATTCAAGGTATGCATCGAAGACGCGCCGAGATGCCGACACATGATCTTCCTAGGAGGAGCGTGCTGACGAACATTTTAGCGGGAACAGAGAACATATGGACATCGAAACAGGAATAGCAAGAATAGGGCACGAGGGCGTTACAAAGCCTATTGCTAGAAAATGCACTTCCTCGTCGAGGGTCAGCTCAAATTCCCCGCCAACCTCTTCGTCCCGAGCGCGTGCCCTTCGACCGATTCGAGACCAAGAAGAGCAAGAACAACACGAAGCTGTGTTGCGTAATTGCATACATGAGTAAGATGTCGGCAAATGCCCCTGCATAGAACAGAAATGTGCGCTTACTTCACAGTGCATTTCGGATACACGTGTGTAGATTCTGGACATGCATGCGTTCTGTCTTTAGGCTTGTCAGGATTGCTACTCCTTCCAATTTGGCTTTATACACGAAATTCCCCTCATGCATGCAAGCAGGCGAGTAGATTGGGCTTGCTTCCCTGCTTCCGCTATACCTACCACCCAGCTTTCTGCTGCCCAGCTCAGGGCGATAATCCCTCTTGCGAACGCACCCAACAGTATACTACCGGCGATTCTTCCAACTTAAGCTATTCATAGCCTACAGTTCAACAGGGTAGACAGTGCCACCGGATACCAGGTTCCGGTGTGCAAGGCGTCCCCCCATAGTAACCTAGCCGTGTCGACTCGTCCTTTGCGTGTACACAGAAGGAAACATCGCATGCGAAGTTGCATGCATACCATGTTGAAGGCGACTTCTTGATTCATTCTGCTTGCAATTCCGGAAGATTTTATAATCTCTCCTTGTACGATTTTAGCATCACCAGACTGTCTTGACTTGCCAAGGCATCGCGTCATTCCTTGTCCGCTGCGCAAATGTGCCGGTTAAGCCCATCTCGTACCCATCCGCTACGTTCGTTGCTTGCCCATCATCGCCAGTATACTACCTCCGACTCCAAACACCACCTCTCTCGTCATTACCGTGCAGTTCACCGCACGTTTGTCCATGTATTCAGCCCGAACAGCATGCCTCTCCACGCCGACACTGGACCAGATGACACAGGACACTTCGAGACGTCGACTTTCTCCCGGAGCCGGCTCCGAGTTACGGCGTAGGCGAAGCATCGACTGCCCAAGTAGCACCCTCTGGTGTGTGGCTCCAAAAGAGCAGTCCAGTCTATACAGTGTGGCACAAGCTACGGCTGCTGCATTCAGGCAGCAGTGCGGGTGTACCGCGCGCCACCTCACGAAGTCTTTGGGCAGCATCGGGAGCCGGCACAAGTATTGCATTCCCAGTGTAAGAGGAATCGTTGAAAGGGCGATAGATGTAGGGTACTAGCGAAAATCCTTCATCAGCCATAACCACCTCGTCTAATCAGGTCATTCACTGACTCGTTTGGCTCGGGCAGGCTATCAGATGGCTTGCGAGAGTGCGCGTCTCAGGACCTGGTCCTTGGTCGATTCTCGAATTCGAGCGGGCGTGCGACTGCGCAAAATTTCTTGGTGGCTTTGGTACCTGCACCTGTATGGCTGAAGCAGTAGTACAAATACAGACAGGATCGAACTTGGGCCTGTTGTCGGCGAGATCCGAAGAATTGCGCGACCGGCGGATCGAGAACACAGCTTGAAAGACTTTGGAGCATCCCCGGCGCGCGCAGGACAGCTTGGCGAGCCCATACTTCCGTAGTCTTTGCCGCATTTCGATTCACCGCTCTATGATTGAAATTTGCACAATTCTGTTTCATACCAACATAACTAAGAGAATAGGGGGGCGGGTTCATCGGACGGCATCAGATCGGTGTATTCCAGGTGCGGCTTTTCGCAACACTTGGCGCCGAAGGATGAGTTAGAGAATATCTTAGGCGGTTACCCTGTGAAACACTAGCAAGAGTAGGCTGATAAACAAGGCTCCCACCGCTGTTTTCATTGATGGATGGCCGGCCATATATCGCGATTAGTAATGTTGAAGGTGCGTCGATTTAGTGGTAACATTGTGCGAGACGTCGAAGGCGGGTTCCCCCTACTTTCATTCTCGCAGACTCCTCCATAGGATCTCCTTTTGGGTTGTGATAGATCCGGCCCCTGTCCAGCGGGTGAGGCAGTGCATAGCGGTTGTGGTGGCCTCCTTCCCTGAATACTCAACACATGGCTGCTGTAGGACCCTGTCCAGTACGAGCGGTCTCCTAGAGCACACGTACGGTTGTGACCGAATTGGTCCGCACAAGCAAATGCCGTTCCATTCGTCCTGGCTCATCACCGGATCACATCGGGGCGGCACCGACAGTAGGATGGTCTCTCGCCTTCTTTTTAACATGAATACCTACCGTTGTAGAGCTTCTCACGATATTCGTGCGGTGAGGTTGAGAAAGATGGTGGCTGAATGACGGTGTTGAACATGTCTTGAGTCTGCGCGCAAAACATTCTGTCTCGAGGAAATGATGTTTCAGCAAATTGCCAAAACAGACTTCCAGCTGGATAGCTTACATATTGAATAACGTGCTCCCCCAGCGTACGTGGCTGAGCGATCTCAGCCAGCTCGAGCGCATCAAGCTGGCGTCGACATGTTGACCCATACGTGCAAATCAGATTGCAATGAGACGATGGTCGAGAAAAGGGGCATTGCATCACTTTACACCATAAAACAGCGGTGGGAAAGCACAATCTATGGCTTTGGGTGGACAATGGCAGCCCACTGAGAAGGAAATTCCTGTTCCAATATGGGGTTCAGGTGCCGCCGCGCTACCAGCTACCACATCAAATGACTCACATCTGCTTCCTCGTGCCACGTGTATTCAGGCTCACCAAGGAAAGATGATGGTATGCGTGCGCCTACTCGCATCGTCCCAAGCGGGTTCCCGACTGTCATCACTGCCCTTTACAGCCCTTCGCTCTGATGGTCTGGCCTGTTTGACGCTCCCAGTGGATCACGGAGTTGCAAATAGGGTTGCAATATCTGTTTGGGCGCTGGTATTTCAGAAGAGGACCTGAGATTTGGAGCTAATCACTGCGTGGGGACGCGAGAGGATCATGGTCACAAACACGACCGATATCAAGCTTACGCCACCCTCTGCCACCATATACCCACCTCCTCTCCTCTTCCTGCTTGTTTCCAGTACTCGAATTCCTTTTCGGCTTCACCGGAGCGAAGAAGGTAGTCCAACGGCACTTTCTACTGGGCCACTGCTTGATCTGCTCGCTCGATCTGCTCCTTTCACTTGCCCTCATCAGGCTCAAAGATGTCGCGCGCACACTGTTGCACTTCTGACTCTACCAGCGTGTGGTTCGGCCTTGCCCATTTAGAAAGGCTTCTGGAGCTATGGCCGAATCGATGTGGTACCAAGGTTAAGACCCCCTTCCGGTTATGTTTTGTCGGTACGTTGGTTGCCCACCTACGCGCAACAATGCCTGAATTTGTTCGCTGTGGGCCCTGGCTTGCTGCAAATCCTCTGCAGCCTGTGCCAGCTTAGCTTCTTGCTCTTGGTGATACTCCTCAAGCCGGGTCTGCTCTTCCTTGATCCTTCTTGAATAGTCTTCTATGCGGCGCTGAACCTGCAGGCGCCGAGTATCGATCCATTCCTGGAGATTGATCGCACCCTGTGATACTTGCGTGAGGGCGGTGCAATTGTCGGTGGATAATTCTGCCACCTTCACGCAAAGCACCTTCTTGATGCGACGGAACTTGGCAAGGTTTTCGTGTTCAGCATTGATGATGTCCGCGGGAAAGGGATTCTTGTCGCCGGTGACTGTGATGCACCACGCCTCCTGTTTGGAGACGTAGTCGGCGTACTTGGCGGCCTTCTTCGCGATAGCATCTGCTGAGGATATTGCTGCTCTCGTTAGAAGGCGCGCAGATTGTGTTTGATTCGACATGAAGTTGATCTCCTCGAGCTCGTTAGTGAAGCGTTCGAACATTGACTGTACGTCACATGGCTTTCGTCCGATGTCGTTCGACTGCATGAGATCTGGCGGGAACGCTTTGGCGGCAAGCTCGGTAACATGGGAGCCGTCGCCATCGAACAGACGACTAAGTAGAATGCGCCACACAGCGGGATGCAGTCGGTCCGGCAGGTCTAGTCCGAACATGCGGTGCAGCAGGTAGACGACTGAGAAGAGGCCGCAAGAGATCGAATCGGATTGGCGGAACGTTGCAGGCCCTCTGGAGTTGATGAGTCTCCAGCTTTGAACCTCGGGCGTATTCAAGGACATGACGGCTCGCGCGATGGACTGCACTTGAAAAACGCACGCCGGGTTGCCGAGAGGGTCGAAGGTTTCGATGCTTTGATCGTCCAGGTTGATGAACACTGCACACCAGTGGCGGATGGCAGAAAGATAAACGCCTGCTACAAGGTTGCGGTGCTGGTCAGGAAGAAAACGCGGCAACCTTGAGGAATGCTGCGCGTCGGTGAAGTGGAAACTCGAGGCAACGTACAGCGTATCGGGTCTGGGGTTGAAGCTATGCAAGATCGGCATAACGATGTCGCTACTCAGGGGTTGATTGTCTAGTATCATCCTGCCATGCACCGGAGGTGGCGCGGTGCAAGAGGTAGTGGATGTGCCAGCTCCACCGGCTGTGCCGGAGGAACAGGTAGGTTCCCATGGTGGCCTCGATGACATGGGTGCGACCGAAGGTTCCGAGGCACTGTTCCAACCAGTGGTCGCGTCGTCGAGGCCTGTAGACGTGGTAGATGCCCTGGGCTGGGTGCAAGGAGGCAAGCTTGCGACCGGCTTCTCGACGGCCTTGTCTCCATCGGCAGCTGCATCTCCTTGAACACGCTGCGAGCCTTCTTCAAAGTCGTTTGGGGCTCCGGGCGCGACTGCGAGATGTTGAGAATCTTGGTGCCCGTTCCGAGACAAGACTGCTTCACTCAATGGGTGTTTTGCATTGCTTCCCATCATGTGAAAGTTGACACCGACCGCGACAGAATCGCATGTCAGAGTGGCGGACATCAGTTTGGGGGCCGAGTCGGCACGCTCTCTGTTTGAAAGACTGTCCAAGAGTTCTGTAAGGCCTTCCTCGTTCTCGCTGAAAATAGCTGTCGTCCTCCTGCGGTGCTTAGGTCGCTCAGCGGAGTCTGGCGGTAGGGACAAGCATCTCTTTGCAGGTGTGACGATGGGTGTTCCTGACAAGGGCGAGAGCCGCTTCCTGTGTGTAGGGCACGGTGTGCCAGGTGAGGACAGGGAACACTGTTGCTTTGTCGAAGTAGGCGTCCTGGTCTGGCTGCGAAATCGGGGCTCAGGCGTGTCATCAACCTGCGTGTCGTCAACCTGCACGCCTGCTTCCTCGTCATGCCGTCGGACCTTCTCGGGGGAAGGTACGATTTCAGAGACCGGGCTGGCGGCGATGTCCTCCACGGCGAAGCCGCGCGCTTGCCCTTCCGACTGCTCGACGAGCTCCTTTGCAGATTGAACGCCATCGCCGGGAGAAGGAGGTCGGCGGTCGGCTTCTGTAGAGGACGCCATCTCCAAGAGCGGGCCGGCGGCGACGCTTTCCTCGCCGTGCTGGAGGGCGTCTTCCTCTCGTTCCTCGACAAGGTGACTGGCCATGTCTGCTGTTGCTGCCTCGCGTGCCGAAGAAAGCATCGAGATCGCAAGGTTCAGCTGAAAGCGGTGGACGGCGCCATCCAGCGTTACACGGCCGGTCCTCGATCCTTGGTCCGCCTTCTGCACCGCTGCTGCTCGCACAGCTTCGTCGAGCTTGGCCTTTGCGTCCTCCCAGCGAGGGACCAGCCTCGCGAATTTCCTCAGGGCGTCCAAGAAAGATTTTCTGCAGAATTGGGGGCCGAAGTGGGCGTATAGTGCGAGCGCAGATCGGTCCCACGGGCAGCGATTGGTAGCATCCGATCTCTGGAACCAGCGTAGGCGGGATTGGTCCTGCCTGGAGAGCCTCTCCCCCAAAAGGGTGTTCAGGTAGACGCACGTTGGTTGGCCGAGCTGCTGCACAAACTCGTCGGCAGCCTGCTCGCCGTGCTTGTCCATCAGGTCATTGTACACGAGCGCGAAGTCGTCGAGGGATCTGTTCAGTTGGGCGCGGAATCTTTCGGCGGCCTCGCTGGCGGCTGTCCGCTGGCTTGTGTGATCTTTGGGCATTGCGTCGGGGGCTTTTGCGGCGTGGCTGGCTGCGCTTGTTTTGCCACCGTCAGTCGCCCCGCTGCCGGCTCTCGACTCCCCTAAGCGTTCCGTCGCGCTGGCAGGCTTCGTGTTGCGGTGAGGCATGCGAGACAGAGAGTCGCCGTATTGCCCTGCGGAGTAGACAGCGTGAACGTTGTGGATGAGATGTTTGGGCAATCGAGATGATTGCGAGTCTCGCGGGTAGCGGCAGGCGCTCAGCCTTGGCAGTGACCGGCAGAGCAGGTGCGAGCGTCTACACAGCAGGTGCGGACCCGTCGGCCACGATTGATTCCGAAGCCCAGTGCGCGGGACCTCTGGTGCGCGTATGTATCCAAGATTGTAGGTGGATCGGAAAGTAGATGAAAATGTTTGGTGATGTGTTGTTCAGATCTAGATTTTGACACCTGGGCATCTCAAAAGGCTCAATCCGACTGTGCACATCGTTTGGACAGCAGTATGTGCGCGCGACCGCTGGTGGTGGGCGATCGCGGCGTGGTAGCCGCGTCGAGTCAGAAGCAGAAGCGCCTGCGCGCGCACCAGCTACGGTACGCCGGAGAATTTACGATTGGTCCAGGCGCAGCAGTAGACTCTGCCATCATGTTAGACAGAACTTGTCTTAGTACGCTCCAGGAGTTTACATGAATAAGGGATGAGCTTTCAGGCCAACGCTCTTGGGCAGGTTCTCTACCCGAAATTGGCATAGAAGCCCCACGCAGAAGTACCGCGCCTTGGCACGTTACCATGCCAAGGCACGGTATGCGCAGCGTCGCGTCATGCGCAACCCCGACATAATCAACACCAACTTTGACACGCCGCATCTCCCCCAATATGGATCCGGTTGAGGCCGCAATGGCAGCAATTGACTCACTAGATCCAGGAGGATATTTCTTATATAACAAAATAGCAACCGACTTTAATGTTACGTGATCTATATTTATTAGAACGTATAATGTGATATCCTTATCCCATATAACTACCTACAGAAACCAAGAAAAGATCAATCAATAACAAGAAGGCACACAAGCAGCAGAAACGTACGTCGCAGCTCGACGAATATTGCGACGGCCTCTACGACGATAGATTAACGAGCTCCGCGTCGCCGGACTTGTACAAATTGATGCAGGGTCCACACCGCTGGTGGGTTGACGTCGGCCAAAAACGCTACCCGGTCGTATACAATATGGCGATGGATCATCTCTCTATGCCAGCCACCTCGTGCGACTGCGAGCAGTGTTTCTCCTCCGTCAGGAGAATAAGCACGTGCGATCGCAATCAATTATTGCCCGCCGTCGTCGAAGCTTTACAACTCCAGGAGAACTGGCTGACGAGAGACGCCGTGTCAAGTCACCCCACGGCGTTGTCAAAACACGTTGTCAAGAAGGATGCCTTCCAAAACATCCAGCTGATGGACGCCAGCCAGTTTCCGGACCTCAACACCAGCCTCTTTCCTAATCAGGAATTCGTATATATATGAACGTTCAGCCGAAAATTCGCTATACAGTTCGAATCAGCTATTGTTCGTGACGCTTCGAACGTACGAACGTTTGTATACAAATCGAACAAACGATCAAGGACCTTGTCCGGTGCCTGTTCTGTTCGTTGGCCACGCTGAGGCTGTTAATAGGGGCTTAAACATTGCAACGTCAAGTGACTGGAGCGTATGAGTGGAATGAGGAGGCAGGATAGCAACGAGGATCTTATTCTGATCACAGTAGTTGATAAAGTCCATGGTGATATGGGAGCCGTGGCCATCTAGGATTAGAAGTTGATATAATCGTCGGGTCTTCTCCTCAGTATAGCGATCGAGCACCTATTCAAGCCAGGCTAGTCCAATATCATTGTTGGTCCAGCCAGAGCGGGATGAGGTGATAAGACTTGTCCTGCCCTGATTTCGTCTACCCAGGCTGGTTGAATGCCCTTGTTTGTAGCCTCATAGATAAGGCTTAGTGGCAGAGCTGATTCATCAGCGTAGATACATGCCAGGGGTGTGATTCACGCGCGATTGCCATCCTGGAGTGATGCTTTAACCTCTTTGTTCTCCCACAGTCGTCTGCTGAAGATTCTCTTTGACCTGCCAACGATTCCGATCAGGAAGCCTTTCTCGTCCATATTGTCGGTATGACGAGGATCTATCGGATATTAATTGATCTTGTCGTGTAGGAGGTGGAAATAGAGGCGATAGTTGTCCACTGATTTAGCCTTGTGGCGATTGCTGTCCATATCAACTATCTATTGTAAGATAAGATGAATGCTATATCGCTTGATAGAGTGCGTAACCCAGCTCTCGCTGACTGGCTCCTTTGCGATCATGGAGGCAAAGTTGCGTATTATGTCCCTAGTAGGAGGTAGATGTCTCTCTATAAGTCTTTTGATATATTGTATAAGCTCCTGCTCTTGCTCTAGGGTGAGCTTTTGCTAGTTGGTGTTCTTGATCTGCATAGGACGCACTAGACTCGAGTGCCTTTGGGCTAACGTAGATCGTACAATACTCTACTTTGTAGCAATAATTTGGTATAAGAAGTCTTCTCTAGGTTCTAGCGATTCTAGCTCTGCAAGCGCGTCATCAATTGGAGCCATTTTGGTGGAGTTATCGCGTGGTGAACTTTTGTTGTTTTGATGAGGGTAGCGCATCACGCGAACATGTGCATCACGCGCACAGACACGGTATAGAGCTTTGCCTCATATAGAGCCAAAAAGTAAGTCATAATGTTCCGGGTTGACCACGTTAGACGGCGGAATAAGGAATCCTTGATATCTTAATGGACAGCTAGCAGCGACAACAATCGCCTTGAAACTGATTCCTTAGCCAAATATAAGCTCTACTTTGAGCTTCTATAGCATAAGATTGAGGAATATTAGCTCGGGGCTCAAAATACGTACAATATGGACGAGAAAGGTTTCCTGCTTGCGATCATCACCCGCACAAAGAGGATCTTCAGTAGGCATCTATATCAAAGCAAGGCTGTGAGGCAAGTGATACAAGATGGCAGCCGTGAGTGGCCATCTCTCATAGCCTGCATATGCGCCGACGGATCTGCCTTGGCCCCAGGTCTCATCTACCAGGCCGCCTCTACAAACCTACAATCGAGTTGGGCAGAAGATCTCAATCCTCAACACCATCAGGCCTTTATCACAGTATCAGAATCTGGCTGGAGCGACAATCAAATCGGTCTTGCATGGCTGCAGCAGGTGTTTAATCGGCATACAAAACCAAAAGCTAGACGATCATATCGGCTATTGATCGTTGACGGTCACGGATCTCATATCTCTATAGATTTTATCGACTTCTGGGATCGTAACGGGATCCTACTAGCCATCTATCCACCCCATTCAACACATACGTCTGCATCTTGAAGCCTCTATCAACAACGTGTTCAAATGAGCTTTCAGTATTCATGAATAGCAGTCAGGGACTGGCCTCAATCGCTAAGAGAGACTTCTTTAGCCTATTCTGGAAGGCCTGGGTCAATACAATGAGGCGGCCATTAGTCCTCTGGGGCTTTGAAGCTACAGGCATCTGCCCACTCGACCCAACACCGAACACCAATCTTTTAATTTTTGTGCCACCCTCTCAGAGGCCCTAAAAATCCCAGCAACTGAGCAAGCTCACGGCGCTGTTTCTGGCAGTACCTCTAACGCCCGCCTAGCCCTCCGCACAGCCGCGCAAAGGAGCTTGTCAAGATGGCAGAGTCTCCCTCCCAGCACACAGGGTCCCCAGACCCTAAGATTCCTCAGCAGCTTTATACACGCGCCGCAAGACGACCCTAGGAGGACATGCATCACCATGCACCCCTCCTAAGCAGACAGAACCCCAGTGGGGGCGCCCCCAAACCTCGAGTTTCCAATACCGTCCAACGCCACACCACCAAGACTTAGCAGATTGCCCAGCTATGGAACACTATCACTACGGCTTTCGCAGCAGCGGTAGACTAACATGTAGAGGGCTACACTAACCCATAAGAAGTCAAGATTGCTAAGGAACTACAGTAGATAGTCATCCAGGCTCTAACCTCCCTCTCCCCAAGCAACTCCTCCCCTAGCTCCCGCTGGAGCAGCGACACCAGTCACAGCAAGGCCAGGAGCCAAGAGTCGGAACGCCGCTCTTGGGCGGACGTAGCCAGAGTCCTCCCATCTTAGATAAGGGTGACATCCGACCCCTAATCCCTGCTAGGCCCCCAGCCCAACCCGCCTGCTAATCCGAAAGAAGACAATTAAATCTTCGTAAGCATCTCTAACCTGCCCGTATGACTGAAACAACCCTCACCCTTTATAGTAAGGCAGGCAATATATAAGAGTATAGTCGGACTTATTCTTAAAGACATACCTACCACATCACTAATTAACACAGGCTGGGCGATTACCCTAGCAAATTAGAAAAGTTGGGAGCAACTTCTAACTCAAGAAAATTAGGAACCTTTAAGTAAGAGCGCTAGATGGAGACGCGGTGAGGATTCCCAAACGCTCGATTAACTAAATAGTATAAGGGGTACCCAGCTCTTTCTAGACCCTAGACGGCACCAGCCTACCGGCTACTACCTAGCTGGTAGAGGAAGAGGTCTGCTCATAAACAGGCAAGCAGCCAGTTAGCTGCAGGATCTCACGGCATAGGGCAAATCAGCATAGCCTTATCACCTGGGTTGTTTCATACAAAGAGCCAGTCCACTCATTCCAACTCTTTGGCACTAGCCAATTCTCGAAGGGAATTCACAAGCATCCAACCATACAGCGATATAACGCAGGCTACCAGGGCTACTACAACGCTACCCACTATACCTAAGTAGCCCGCTGTGCACACTGCAGGAACCACATAGATAGACACCAAGGATAGTATAGGAGTAGTTGCGCCCATAAGCTATGTGTGCCAACTATCATGGCCCTTATTTCTAGAGGCGGCCTTTTAGAAGGACGTGGATTTTGTGTGTGTCTAAGAGTTCTTCATATATGCCAACTCAAGAACTTCCACCCACCCTGGTTTTACACACCTAGCACCCATCAACACCTGGGACAGCCCTAACACGCCAGGCTTAGCCCGCCCTAGGGTGATGACCTACATCCGTAAAGGATGCCACCTACGATACCAGGCTAGAGAGAGCCTCAACCACCTAGACATGGTATGGACTGTAGTGAACGGAGTTGCTATACTCAATTGCTATAGACAACCACACCACCCCGAGGTTATTTAATACGTCACCCATCTTATACCCCCTCCATTCTGCCCCATAGGAGGAGACGTTAACGCTAGACATGAATCCTTTGAGCCTACCATCACTGCAGCCAACGGAGGCGTGGAGCTAGCTAGTTGTGCCAGGGCAGCCAACACACTGCGCTGGCCATGTCCTTGACCTTACCTTTTCTAACATCCCGTTCGCCCAGTCTGCTGTAGATGGTAGCATGCACAGCGGCTCAGTCCATAAGATAATAGTGACCTCTATCCCCATCTCCGCACCAGGCACTCCGCATCGAGAACAGTACCACTACAGAGTCGCCGAGGCAGGCCTACCTAAGTTCGCTGGGCTCCCATGGAGCACACACATCTCACTCGAGGAAGCTAAATGAAACACAATAGGGGTCTCAAGCACCTCACCAGGCACTGACCGCTCCACCGTACGGTTACTCCGTGCCTGCTGGGCTCAGGTTGGGGAACTCAAACGAAGAGTCTTCCAGCGATGCCTTGAGCTCAACCACTTCCCAGCATAGTGGAAGCTTTCGGAGGTAGCCATGATACCTGAGGCAGGGAAGACAGACCGAACATCAACCCGCTCTTAGAGACCTATAGCGCTTCTTCCTTGCATTGGACAAGGACTTGAACGAACAGTGGCTAGACAAATCGCATGGTTAGCCATGACACACAAGATCATCAGCCCCCAGCATGGCGGCGCCTTTCCGAAGCGCTCTACAGTAGACCTCACTGCAGCATTTGTGACAGTACTGAGGTTGTTTGAGGCTGATAGGGAATACGCAAGCTGACGTACGTAAGCCTCCGAGGCATCCGGGTCTCTAGGGCACCTATGAGCAAGTATAAAAGCAGTCTTAAGTATCAACTTTCATAGATCAATACAGTCCTTCATAGCTTCCTGCTACCGCTACAGCATTCACCCATGACACTGAAGCAGCATGGGTACTTGGGAAGCATGTCACCATAGTCACCCTAGATGTTTGAGGCGCCTTTGATGCGCTCCTTAAGAACCGCCTACTGCACCGGATGGCCCAACTGGGCTGGCCACAATGAATCTTGCTCTTTGTAGACTCATTCCTCACGGACCGGAGAGTCCAAGTCCGCCTTGGACAGGTCACTACCCCTAGCCACCTTGTCGCCTGTGGTACACCCCAAGGCTCACCTCTCTCTCCTGTCCTATACACAGTCTACCCAGCAGAACTACTATCTATGGACATAGAATGGAGGTTTAGATATGTAGACGATATATGTCTATACCGGGCCTCACTCTCTATGGACAGCAACGCCGAGCTCCTAGCATCAGACCTGAGGCAGATCAGCGCATGGGGCGAGGCTAACAAGGTCACCTTTGCCCTAGGAAAGTAGGAAATAATACACCTAACTAGACAGTGGAGTAGCTACGCACCACTCCAAGTTGTAGATAAGCAGCTTATGATCCACCCCATCCTCCTAGGTAGAGAGTACAGCCAGCCAGCCCTGCACTGGCTAGGTGTGTGGTTTAACCACAGACTCACCTTTGGACGATATGTAGCCACCGCACTGCAAGAGCTGCCAAGGTAGCCTATCATATTTGTAGTCTGGCCAAGACTACCTATGGACCACCAGCTAGCTCCCTCCATAGGGCCACTATTGCCTATGTGTACCCGTCGCTTCTGTATAGGCCTGAATGCTGGTATAGAGGCCGCACCAAATAGCCACACACGCTTAAACCAGGTAGGCCACAAGAGGCCAGTGCTTACATTAGATGGCACATAGCTGCTATAGATAAGACACTGGCTATAGCAGCAAGGCCCATCCTACCAGCGTGGAGAATAACGCCTACAGGTGCACTCTTCTAAGACGCCGGACTGCTATCTGCAGCAGTAGCACTAGAGGAGGCTGAATTTAGATTTATAACCCACTTGCGCACTATAGACGTAGACCACCCCCTTACTAGGCGCACATTGGTATATGTAGTAAATAGGGGCGTAAAAACTAGATAACCCCAGCGAGTCAAGACTAAAGTCTAATAGATGGCATCTTCTACCAGAGATCCCCAGAACTACACTAACAGTCCCTTACTACTCCACTGGCTACCGAACAGACCCAACGCTCGGACTAGACAAGAAGACTACAGGTAAGGCTTTTAAAGAATAGTGGGCTTAGCTCTTACCACCAGATATCACTATCTGCTTAGATGGCTCTGAACAGTACACAAAGGAAGGAGAAAAGTGGGTCACCTACGGCATTACAGTACATCAGAACGGAAAGTAACTACAGACTGGACGCGGGTTATTTAGCCCTACTTCCCACGTCTCTGACGCTGAGGCGATAGGGGCATGGAGAGGCCTCCAGCACACTATAAGACATCTAGAGCTCCACGCCCGCCGAATCTGGCTATGCATAGACAGCACCTCGTTGATATGGTGCCTTAGGGGTGACACACCCCCTACCTCTCAATGGGCCTTTCAGGAGTGCCATGGTGCCATGGAGACACACGATACGACGTCTCTGTTAAATGGGTCTCTGGACACCTAGGCATTGAAGGAAACGAGGCAGCAGACAGACCAGCCAATCTGGAAGCCCAGCACCCATCACACCCGATTGAGAAAGTTGACATGCCTACACTCTCAGGGATCAAGACAATAGCTCGCAAGACACTACGGTACACACAACAGACCTAGTGGTCTAACAAAAAGACCAAGCTCTTAAAATGGTACAAGAGCTGGGACTTGGACTATACACCGCGCAGCGGTCCAAAGGAGCTAGACCTACCAAGAGCTGTCCTAGCAAAACTCCTTTCTATCTAATCTAGACATGGGGACTTTGCCTAGTACCACCAAAAGTACAACCATAAGGATGCAAACCTCACCTACTCATGTAGACAAGACAAGACACCAGAGCACCTCGCGCTTTGCCGCAAGACCTTAGGGACCTTTGGCAGATGGCCACATTGGCCACCTATACCGCCGTCCAGCCAGGCTGATGGCATAGCGTACACTGCATTACTAGTGGGAGACCCAGGGGCCTTTGAAGTCTTTGTTAGACTCACACAGTACTACACCAGGATCTGCCCCCGCTAGCTCTTGCACCTAGCAGAACTAGGTCCAGCACAACAGCTGCAATACTCCCCACCCCTCCCTCCCCTTCCCTACGTACACACACACACACACACACTCTCTCTCTCTCTCTCTCTCTCTCTCTTGGCACACAGATGCCTCAAAAGGCAAGTAAATCACCCTAATGTACATACACCGCTCAGCCTCCCCAACTGGAAGGGGAGCTGTAGTTCTGAAATGGTAGGTAAGAAATGCTTTCTAAGGTAGTGTGCTAGTACTGTAATTCCATAGCTTAGTACGTACTATATGCCCTTCGGGAGGCGAGATGGTGGACTTGATCCCCATCAACTAGACGTAAAATGAATACCAACCAACCAGCCAACCAACCCACTCGATCCAACAACTATACTCGATAGATTCGATCAGCGCAGGCCTTTACCTCATAATTAGCCAGATGAGTATTATTTTCTGGTCAGCTTGTAGCGTGCAGTGGGTTCGCGATTGTCAAGACTAAAAAGATATAGAGGAACAACAAATATAGCTTTAAAAAAAATTGAGCGAGCTGAGGGCCATCGGGCGAGCCATCAGCTCAAAGCAAGGCTACTCCAAGAGAAGCGTATTGCTTGAGGAGTTGCTAGAGATGCGCGCGTGAAGCAGAGGGCCGACGAAGCTGTACCTTAATGAATAGGCATGTAGGGCACAAAGTCAACTTTAGAAAGCCAGTCAAGTTGAGTTGGTTCCTTCTTTCCTTCCGGATTTTATCTCGCGGAACGGAATAAGATGGTGGCTACAATACCAGCGTGTTAAATTCTCCTGTAAGGGTAATAAGAAGGCCTTAAAGCCTCCTAGTAGATCTATTAAGAAGACTCAGGCGCAGCGTGAGGGTATAGATCATTAATAAGGCCTCATCCATTGTATCCGCCTCACGGTCGCGCAATGACCGAACGATCAAAACGCCAAGTAGATATCAATAATCTACGTAGCTAGCAATTATCTACAGATATCAGAGACCTAAGCTCCACAAAATTTCTTAATAATATCGATTACAGGCGTCTTTACTGCCTCATATTACTGATCCCGCGATCATGTCGGGGTTGCGCATGACGCGACGCTGCGTATACCAGTACCGTGTCCGTGCACCCAATACACGCCAAACAACATAAACGCTCTACTAGAAATGAGGCCATATAATCACCCACAGACAATATTATCACGAGATTTTCTAGTGGAGTAGGAAGTCGATAGCTGCTATGAATTTGCTCTACTTAAATCTGTCTAGAAGCTTAATGTTGCGACCACGGCGTGTTGATCTAGCTGGGACAGCAGATGCGCCCTCTGAGGTCTCCCCAACATCTTGAGCATCACCAACACGTTTCTGACGCTTTCTACTCTATAGAGATAGCTAAGAAGCCTTTCTTTTACCCTTTTGGGATAGTTGTAGAGCTTTTTCAGCGTTACGGGTACACTTCTAGGCAGCGCGCTGCAGCGGATCTAGTAGTCCGTATTATGGTACGGTTCGACGCGGTTACGGTTACGACGATTGCTAGTAATTACGGTACGTAT